TATGTACATATGTATGAATGTGTGTGTGTGTGTGTCTTAAGACTGCGACGGCGCAGCTGCTATTGCTCGTCTGCCCCTCTGGGATCGTCAACGTCTCTGCCTGTGCATTGAACTGCGCGCGCCAGCTGCTGGCCAAAAATAAATGTGTAATTAAAAAAAAACACACACATACATAAGAAAAAGGGAGCGCGCTGTACTCTCTACACAGAAGGTAAGGTAAGGTAAGGTAAATGAAAAGAAAACACAACCCCCAGACAGGCAGACAATCGGAGAGGGAGACATACTCGAACAGACAGACTGTGCGAAGACTTTGCCTAAATATGAACGAGTTCATTGCCCAAAATTGCCTACAAGGAAGGTAAAACACACTCACACAGACCTAATCATATGCATATGTATCTATACATAGTATGTACATTTGTGTGAGGACTGGGGAGCGCAGTTCAATAAACTATGAACATCTCCAACAAGTTGCAGTTTCAAATTTGAAGTGCAAGCATGTGTGTGTGTGTGAGTGTGTGTGCGTGTTTCGACAGCATGCGTGGGTGCAAACATTTCCAGATTTTTTGTGTGTTCCAAAATCCAAAATCAAAAGCAAACACAAAATGTCACCGTGTGCGATGCTGTTGGCTTATGGAAAATTCCAGGAAATCAACTAAGCGTGGCCAAATGACGAAACTCAGCGGTGGGTAAAAGTGTAAGAGATGCGCAGCTGTAAGTGCCAACAACAGCAGCAACAACTACACCAAATACAAACACACTCTGGTTAAGTAGGTGACGCGTCCGGATGGCTGCGCCTGCGCGGGATTACGATGCAGCAGACGCAGCACGTGGTACAGCAGCGTACAAAAGGCGGCCGGAAAAACATTCGCTCAGGTAAGACGAAAAGAAAAGCAAAGAAAAAGGTGTGAGCGGAAAATCGAGTGCAAAAATACGATCAACCCAAGGCGTGGGAAATCTCATTGGCAGCAGCTGCGTTACACAAGGCCGAAGCAATACAACAACACCAACTACAACAACAATAATAGAAATAGGAAAAAACTCATTTGCAACAATTGCGTGGCATGATGAAATCCATTTGAATTCGACAATGTGAAAAGTCCAAAAACGCAAAAACAGAACAACAATTGAGCGGCTTCGACGCCGACTGCGACAGAGACGCAAGCAGTGGCGTCAAGCAGACGCCGTCGTCATTGTCGAAAAATTGAAATGAGCACAAGCACGAGCAGAAACAGTGGCTATTGGCATGGCTATGGTTATGGCTGCCCAACTACGCAATGCGTGGCCGAAGCGCCAAAAAGCGCAAACTCACACGCACACGCACGCACTCACCACTCATTGCTGTCTTCCCCGTCCCCATCCCCATCCCCATCCGTTCCCCCTTTCCAAAAAGGTGCGCACGCACACATTGAGGGTATTCCTGCTTAAGATCCGATTTCGTTGAAAGTAAAATAGCAATTAAACATATGATGGAACGACCCCTTTTAAGTTGTGTTTGAGATTTGCATTTTTAGAACGCTTGTAGCTGTGTTCTGTCCGCTGGTTGGTGGCTGCCCAAAAAAACTGAAGGCATTTAATAAATCTTGTAAATAAATGTTAAACAGAAATCGGGAATACCCTTAATGAAAACGAAAACTGCTGCGTTCATCGTGAGCGAGTGAGTAGTAGTCAGTGGGTGTTGCGGTGCCGCGTGAGCGTGAGAATGGAGGGTGTGGGTGTTGTTGTGTTACTCCGTGTGTGGGCCAGTCAGTCGGGCAACATGTTGCTAGCAACAATTTAGCATCAAACCAAATTGCTTCGCACTCGTTTATTATTATTAATAGTAAAAGCGGACATTTTATACTGATAAACAAACCAACCAACACACAACAACTAGATACATATGTATGTGTGTATGTGTGTATGTATGTGTAAACATGGCATGCATCATGTAAAAATGCGCCAGTCAAGTCGTCGATTGCAAAACATATGTCGGCCTTGAAAGTGCTGCCATTGCCATAAACATGGCTAAAACATTGTCAATATGTATACATTTTGCACATGGTTTTTGTTGTAATTTAGTGGTGCAGTTCCGTAAACTTGTGCCTCAGTATTCAATGTCAAAAGCGTAACGTTCAATTTTCAGAAATGCGCTTTAATTGTTGATACAATTTCTGGTGCTGTTAATGAAATGCTAATTTCATGACAGCAATAGCAACAACAATAACAGAGCAGCAGGGGCAAAGTTTGTGCGTAAACAGGCGAGATCGAACAAGAGGAAGAGAACTTGTGAAAAAAATGTGTGTTGTTGTTGTTGCTGCTGCTGTCAGGGCAAATACTCATTATGCCTACATGCCTGGCATGATTGTGTGCGTGCGTATGTATGTGTTTATGACTATCTTGTTTATTGTTGTTTTTGTTGCTGCTGCTGCTCCATTTATTTTTTATATAGAATTTTCCGTGTTTATTATAGTCTGTTGTTTGGCTTTAATTTTAATGCAATTTAAAATGTTTTTATGTTGCTAGCAATTAAAGCAGCAAACTTAACAGCTTTTCAAGTGTTTATAAACATTTTGTGCAGCTCTCTCTCACACACAAGTATGTTACGCATTACAAACACAGTTCTCAAGAAATAATTTAATGGCCACTGCTATCACATTGCTGACCATCTAGCAGTTCTGTTTAACTGGAAATTCTGCCGAGTAAATACGTAAATATGCTAACAATTCTTATGAGCTGCATCCAAAATTCTAACCCTGTACATATATGTAATTGAACAGCTTATCAGCTTTTTAAGCTGCAACAGGAACAAAAACAACAATAACAATAGCAGCAACCAAAGCCTCTTTGATCACACAAATGCATTTTGTTGTTGTTTTTGTTAATTCGCGATTGCCAACGCGTGCCGTTGTCGTCAACCTGTTGTTTGGTGGCTTAGGCGCTTTTTACTGGTTTCCACCGTGCTATTGTTCTTGATATTATTCTTGCTGCTGCTTTCGTTATTGTGGTTGTTGTTGTTGCACTATTTATAGGCAAATCATTTCACGCATTTTGCACAATTTTTAAACAAATTGGCTTAACACAAAAATAAACCGAAGGCGGCAAAATATTTGCCAACCTCTGAAAAAAAAATAAGTCAAGCCACAACAAAAACAGAATCGACTATGACGCTTGCGTAATAAAAAAGGCAAAAACAGATGTGTATTTAACTACTATACATACTAGTTTTGTTATTTGCATTTAATAGAAAATATAATGAAACTAGTTGAGCAAGTGCAAGAAAGTAGGAGCGTTGATAGGGGTGTTGCTTATCACAAAACTCATTGGCCAGAAACAACAACAGTATCAGTGAAGCAGCAGCTTTAACAGCTGATCTTGAGGCGTCAACTGTTAACGTCAGTCAGTCGTCAATCAGGCATCCGCACACACAGTATCTTAGAAGTCAACATAACAACACAATAGCAATAGCAATAGAGTGGAAACAGCTTTTTGTTTCAATCGGTAAATCGATAAACGGCGGCAGCAGCACTAATAACAACAACTACGAGTATGTGTACTAATCAAGCTGGCGTCAATTGCGTGCGGGCGTCAGCATCGGCGTGTTAATACCCTGTACTCCCAGACAAAAGACTAGAGAGGCGTGGCAGGATGAGACGAGTCAATGGAGACTTGATGTTCGTCTGGTCTGCCTTACTAAGTAAACTTGATTTTGGATAAGACGGCCACTATAGTCGACTGGTGCTCCACAGTTTTAAAAACAGGGTACACCAGAGCCGGGATCACGCTACTTAAACGGTCTACTCGTTCTCTGTTATCACAGTCAACGAATTTTTTTATTTGGCTCTCGTTGATGCGGTGTTTTGTGCTGATTATCTACAAATGGCAACGAAACAGGAGCAGAGGCGAAGAGAGTGCGCGTCTAAAGACGTCAAAGCAGCGAGTGGGTATGATGTGATGTGATGACTGTGAATGTGTGTGTGTGTGTGTGTATTTAGTTTATATTATTATTTGCCTTTTTGTTATTTAGATAAAATAAGCCATCAGTAAATTGGGCAATAATTTGGGGCGCTGGAGCTGATGAAATTTCAAATACAGTACGCACAATAATATCACGAAATACCATCGCCAGGGAAATAATAACAATAAAGCGTAAACACGTGATTGCTCAGTGACTGACTGCGTGGCTGATTGACGAACTGACAAATGCGTCAATTGCGTGTGATATTAGCAAAGACAACAACCAGCTATGTACGAGTATTTGAGTTCGTATTTCACTTTTTATTTTTCATTCCTCTAATCAGCTATGAAAATGATATGATGGCAAGCATAAAGTGTATTTATAAAAACTCAACCAGTGATGACTTGCTTTTGTTTTTGCTCCCTGCCCGTGCACATGTCCGAGGTTTTTAACCTTGGCGACATTTTACCCCCTTTGTGGTATTGCTTATGTACGCAACACAAGGTACGATGCATTTAATTCCAAATTATTTTCCGAATACGGGGATATTCTCAATTGAATGCCTTAATGTTTGTCGCCTGTACGGTCTAGCAACATGAAACTAGAATCAGCTGGTTGGTTGCCTGTTTGCATGTTAGATTGTTGTTTGCGACTATTGCGCGTGAGTGTGTGTGTGTGTGTTTCTTCTCATTCGGCCACTTGGCAACTTGTCTATGAAATAGCAGAGAGAACGATGCAGCAGCAGGTGACAACGATAACGCCAACGAAGCCGACTGTGCCAGGCAGCGGCGGCGTCTGTTTGGCGACCGCATTCTCAAGCGGCAGACGACGTTGGCGCCGTCGTCAACAGAGGCCACACAAATGTTGTGAGTCTGGGGCGTCTGTTTTTGCAATTGCTGTTGTTGTTGTTGTTGTTATTGGGCGCATTGGAAAGTGAAATCGAGTGTGCAATTTGTGGACCAGGGGGTGGAGGGAGGGGGCCATATTTAAGACTATGTTTTTTAAATATGGTACTTATACGAATCTATGTACATAGTCAGGGTATTCAGTAGTGAGTACTTACTTGCATACTCGCGTCGGGTGTGGACATCGACGGCCAAATAGACCATGCTAAAGCTGCCCTCACCAATGTAACGCCCAAATATGTAATCGTCAGCCGATTTTTTTGGTGGCGTTAGCGGCTCTACGGCCGTCGCTGCCGATGTATTGCGGCTGCTGGAGGGCGAACCCATCATCGCATCAATGTACAGTTTTGTGTTTTGTGATTGAGCGCGCAGTTGCTGCTGATGTAGTTCTTGTTGTGAGCAGCACATTGTGTAAATCGGTAGTGGTGAACTGTTGCTGGCGAGTGCAGCAGCCAACGGCGATGTGTGGCCTGCAGAGAGCAAAGCAGAGAGATTTGCATTATGGCTGTAACATGTAAATATGTAATCCTGCTGTCGAGTTCTTACCGTTTGGTAAATATCTGTTGCTGTTGCCATAGCGACTGTTATTGTTGTTCTCAGTTGTTGTTGATGTTGTTGTTGTTGTTGTGACTGCTGATGCAGCACCGCAGCCGCAGGTTTGTTGTTGTTGCTGCTGTTGCTTCTGCATGCGCGTCATTGTTGTTGCCATTACGCCCAGTCGCTCCTTCTTCAAGCCCAGTTCAGCAAAATTGTTAAAGGACACTGCAGTTGTAGCTTTTTCTTTTGGCATAGCCGGCATTGTTGCCGTTGTTGCTGCCGCGACTGCAGCTATGTTTGATTGTTGCTGCGGCGTTGTTGGCGGCGTTTCAATGTTGTTACTGTTATTGCTGCTGCTCGAGGCGACGACAACTGCAGCTGCAGTGGCGATGCTGACGCAAGTCGCTGGACTCTGGCCTCCTGTTGTTGCTGAGGTTTCTACCGATTGCTGTTGTTGCTGTGTACCGTTATTCTGCAAGTAGAATAGTTGAAATAGAAATAAATGCGTGTTTATGTCTCTTATTGCGATAAGCGAAATAATTGTTGGCTTCATTGTTCATTGTAAGTATTTTGTGTTCAACCCCACATGCTCGGTAACACACACTCTCCTCTCCTCTATATCAATCTTCGTTGCTTCGTTGTTTTTCATTGCTATGTCCAACAATAAACATCAATTATGTAGATTTCATTTTACAATTTTATTATTTGAATGACATGGTAATTTATTGTTGTTTATATTCTGATGTTCCTACTGTCGTGGTTGTTTACACATGAAAAGCGCGTGCCTGAACTTTGAGACCGTCAGTGTAATAAAAATAATATATAAAACAAATACAAATCATAGACGACAATGACAGCAACAGCATAAAAAGAAGAATAAGCTACGCTGTAAACGCCTGACTATCAACAGCATGTAATAGCAGACAGTGTCAAGTCACGTTGAGTAAATCTGTAATCTTTTCGGATCAAGTGAAGCAAAATTACACGTACTATGTAATGCTCTCGCAAATGCCAATTGTAGATGCTTCACTGTACAATACCTCTCCCCCTCTCTCTCATTTAAAATATAGGCTTTATTTGATCTCTCTTTCTCTCACTCACTCGCTCATTCTCTCTCTCTCTCCTTCGAATTGTAACAGTGCGCTGTTAACGTGAATTAAAACGTAATAAATTAACGCGCAGTCGCAACATCGCTTTAAAATAATAACAACAACAACAAGAACGGCAACAGCTACTACTACAGCTTAAAGAGGGAAACAGTCAAAACAAAAACAGCCGCTTTTTGGCCAAGAAGCGACGCGCAGTTGAAAGCGGAACTTCGCCAGCAACAAACACAACAATAGCCGTGGCAAGAGAACAGGTCCACAAAAGGTACGCAGAGACACTACAAAATCAGAGACCAGCCCCAAAAGAACCAACTGGGCAGCAGCAGCAGCAACAGCAACAACCACAACCACAACAACAAAGTGCTCGCCGCCGCCGTCAAGTTCATTGCCGCTACTGCGCTGCCTCTGTCTCCGTCTCTGCCGCTGGCCCCGTCCAGCGTTGTTGTTTTTGTTGTCGTCGTCGAGTTGTTTTTTGTTTTGAGGGTTCAAGGACTTGAGCATTAAAACTACTCGAATAATAAAGTTCATTGCCACTTGTTTACATTTCTATTAGTAGTTTGTTTTTGTTTTTCTTCTGCCGTATGTTGTTGTTTCGTGCGTTTTGGCCAAATATTTTTCTAAGCCAGTTCTTTTTTTTTTTGTATTTTAAAGTTATGTATTTGTATAATTTGCGATTTTTTTCGGCCGCCTTGTCTAAGACGAGATCAAAGCCCATATAGGAAGTTGTGTCGTGATTTTTTGTACCATTCGCACAGCTTAGGGCGACCGGAGAGGGAACGGACAGGGTGAGGGTTGACTGTGGCAGGCTTTATGTTTTGAATGTGTGAAGTACAATAAACTTTTTGGGCCGCTTTTGACGTCAACAGCACGCAAAATGGAAATTAAAAAACAAGAAAATCACTAAAAATTCAAGACGTGCAACAAGTTTTGACTTTATAAGAAAGAAAAAAATGCGAATATACAAAATGAATAAAAGCTATAAAAAATATTTAAATCAACTTTAAAACAAACTGGCCAACGCAGACGTCAAATGAAAGTTAAAGCCAAGCTTTGGACAATTGTTGGGACAAGAGAGCTGCAAATGAAAATGCATTTACAGTATTGTGTGGCGAATATGGGAAGGATGGATGTCAGGTGCTAGGACTGTGCCTGAGCTAAGCAATGCGTATGGGGTATATTCCTACCAGTTCCGAATGGCCTTCGCTCTCATTGGTTTTCTTCATATGGAATGGGATGGCCTCGTTTTCGGAATAAGTGTTCGGTATTGATAACTGGGCGGCATGAGAAGCACATTTGGATGCATCCAGCAGGTGGTCTCATTCAATATTATGTATAATGCGAGATGATGTGAAAGGAAAATCAGGTTAAGATACACATGCATACCTACGTTCATATACATATGCATGAGAAAACGAGATAAACGCCCGGAGGTTTTTATATTTGGGAGGAATCCGATCGGGGAACAAGAAATATTTTCAAGCCACTTTGCTCGCATGCGTATGAGAGTGTAGAGCACAGGGGAAGAGAAGAGAAAACAACAACAACAACAACAACAAAGCGAACAATGCAGCCAAAGCGACCAAAACAAACACAAGACCATGTTGCATAGCCAAGTTGTATCGCCGCCGCAGCAGCCCAGGGCAAGCAGGTGTATATTTTGGGAAATGAAAGACAATAACAACAACAACAGCGGCGAAGGTACGACCGACTCGACAAGCGACAGCAACATTCGAATAAAGTTTCGTCAATGAAAATTGACATAGAAAAATGGTATTTTGTATTTGCCTTTGCTGTTGTTGTTGTTGTTTTATCTATGTGCGTCACACATTGGAATGCTGTTGGTTTAGTTTTCAAGTCGCACACACACACGCACACACGCACACATCCATTCCCGACGATATCTTGTGTGCCTCACAACTAATTGTGTTTTGTTTTGTTTTTGTGATGCTTTCTCGCTCGCTCAGCAACTGCTCTCATCGCTCTGATATGCTATGGCATGACCTCATATACATACATACACACATATACACCTATGTACAAATTTATATGTATGCATGCATAAACAGAACTATGTTGTTAGCATCATCAGCCGGCAACGCCGCCCAAAAAATCATTAAAAAAACAACTTGTATATAAGAACCACCCACGCCTTCTAGCATCTACTTCCACAATAATTCAACAGTTTTATTTAATAAAACTTTTTTTGCCAGCAAGCAAATAAAATGTGAGTTAAACAACAATCATATCGATCGCGAATAGCGGCTGCGGCGACTGCTCGACTCGATTATTTGTGAACGGGGCCGACAGTCAAGTTGCCAACCTACTTTTTTTTTTTTTTGGACAGCAGCCACGCTAATTAGCAGAGCTCGTGGCAGAGCAGCGGCAGAGGGAGCGACGTCAGCGGCAAAGTGCGTCAGAGAGCTTGAAAACTGGTCACCAACATTGGCAACAAACTGGCTGGCGCAAAAGTAACAGGAAATACCGAAAATTCCACGCACGATGGCCGCGAGAGCAGACTCAAGAGTTAAAGCCCGATCCGAGCTTGCGATCGAAATTGTGCGCGGCTGAGGAATAAACACCTTAAACTTTTTCAAGCCCTTTACCCCGCAACTTCAGAACCTTTAGGAATGAAAGGGGCTTGGCAAATATTTTCATCAAACAAATTTGAAGTTCCATTTATGGGAATATCGGTTTAGGTCCTATACCTTTTGCTAGTGCCGTTCGGAAAATTACAAATCAGAATTATTCGCATAGAAACGAGTATTTTAGTCACAGACTCTTGATATTTCATTTATAAGCGTAAGGGCATCATAAATTTGAATGAAAAACTTGGACATAAAAATGTAGTGGAAAATTTTTGGCCCACAATTGTGACACGATGCTGAAGACGTGTCAGGAGTGGGCGTGTGTCTCTATTATATGCTGATGCTTGCTGTCTTGTCTAGATGTTTGGACCAAACAAAACATGCATAGATATGTATGTACATACATACAAGTAGACCAGTATATGTGCAAACTTATAGAAACGTTTATATGAGTGTATATAGAAGGCATCAATCGGACGATCGGTGTCTCTATAGAACGCTATGGTCGTCTGAGGCGTCTAGACGAAAATGACATTTAAATTAATCTATTTTATTGTCGGGTATGTCGCTCGGATGCTGCCCACACTACCGCTATGGCCCACCACACCACACCACACCGCCCACTTCTCTGCTTAACGCCCCTAAGCCCACACCATTCACGCAATTCAATTTATATTTATAAATAAAATTGGTGGCAAGAAGACAACGAAGTCTCCGTAACTGCAGCCTTCGGGCCAATTGAAAGAAATGCAACCAAATGGGCGCCATTTGATTAGCAAACGAGGCGGGGCAGCAGCGGCAGTTTAGGGGAAGGGGTCCTGCAGACGCCGTGTAATACTTTTTGGCTCTTGGCTTTTTTGGTGTCGCCGACAAGGTATGCAAGACTAAATTTATATACATACACACATTTATACATATAAATGTACATACATATGTATGTGTGTGTGCGAAGCGAAATGTTGTCTGCAGAAACAAATTGCTATAAATACGCTTTTTTGAAATTTTTAATTTTGCACGCAGCATAAAAATAAATAAAAGCCAGCGCCTCGAAGTATACGTGTATGTCTGCACTCCCATCAGCATTTTGTTATTTGTTTGCCTGCGGAAGATATTTATGATTCGCAGAAAGCGAGCCCCCGTTTGTAATAGTTGGCATCGGATTAATAAAAAGACAGACTGTAACAAATGGCGGATCGGAAGATAGGGATCGTTCGATAATTATGGAATTATGGAGTGAAACTAACAGATTTCTTATATTTCAAGCTGGACAGTTTAGTGAAGAGGATCCAGAGAAACTGTCAAATAAAAAAAACCTGATGGTGAAAATCTTGCATACAAGTATGTATGTACAAATCTAATATAAATCTGTTAAGGTCAAAATAAAAGTACGTTTTGTGATAGCACCTACAGAGATATATAAATGTCGTAAAGAGAGTTCTGCATCAATTGCCGTGAATCCGGATCCCGCTCACGAATCACGCCCATCTATAACGCTCAGCAAGCGATCTATCCAACGAACTAACAACTAATTCTTTATTCGCCGGCGAACGTCCGACGATAAACGACCGGCAGGCCGACCCTGGTGGGCGTGTTAGGCGCCACTGCCCTCCATGGCCTCGAAAACAACATTAATACGTACAAATCAGCAGCAGTAGCAAAGAAACTAATTCGCGGAAATTTGCTTGGCTTGGCATCTATTTTTGGCCAACGCAAAACGCCGCCGGCAATTCAATAAAACAAATTCCGTTTTTTATAGCGCTGCGACGACATACAAGCTTTCTAGGTGCCCCGAACAAGCAAAGACGTTGGATGGATGGAATTCGGTTGTGGTTGTGGATGTTGGCGACATGTTTTGCATACAGAGACGGGGCTGAAAACCCATGTGGAGGGCAGGTATACTTGTACATAGCTACACGTATGGATAGCCTTGGTTGCTAGGGGCGCGTTCGATAGGTGAGCAAAATCAGAAGAAAAGAAAAAAACCCACTCTGGCTCTTGGGACAATACACTACCTGCATTGCAATGGGGCAGACGACTTCCATGATAAGTACAAAGTAAACTATTGGGTTAACTGCAAATTTGGAAGCTATTTGAATCAGTATTAATTTAATTACACAAACATAATATCATTGAATAGATGAAATACATAATTTATGTGTTAAACAACAAACAAATACAAACGGAAATTAAAATGAAAAGCCTATTCCGTCGCCTTCTTGATGCCCAAAATTGCCGCCGAAGTTAAATATGTGCTTTGCTTGACTTTCCCATGTTGTTTGGCGCCTAAACAGCCAACAACAATAACAATTTGCCACGCACCAAAAACAATAGCAACCAGTGAGGAGAGCAACAATAACAATATAGTAAAATGCGCTTATGAATGAAAGTGCAGCAGGTAAGGTAAATATGACCAGCGAGCGAGAAAACAAGCCAAACAACAACAATAACACTAACAACAAATGCCACTACCAACACACCAGGCCAATGCAATGCAAATGCAATTCCCACATTCCATTTGCGTACAGATCTCTCTCGCTGTTGCCCTCATGCTCTTCTCGCTCTCAGGGAACTCAGTATTTTGAGGAGAAGGGGGACACGCCGCTCTGTAATGCACTTACGTGTTTTACAATGGGGAGCAGCATTTACGTTGTTGTTGTCGTCGTATTACAAAATAAAGCACGAGAGCGCCGTTCGTGTTGTTGTCGCTCTTGGCTCTCCCTCGGCTGCTGCTTACGCACTTCAATGCTGCGTATAATGCGTGTACGTCGGCAGAGGGGGGCGTCTGCGAAGGGGCTCTGTTTGTTGTGTATGTTGTAATTGCGATTCACGGTACAAATTCCAATGGGCACACGCACAACCGAGGAAGAAGAAGAAGAAGAAGTAGAGGACGACGAGACGTCGTCGCATACACACATACAGACACAAATAAGCAGCGCAAAGCGCGCGTATTTGTGCGCCGTAATCGTTTTAGTTTGCTTGTGTGCGTACAATTTTTTTTTCTATGTTAAATGTTTTGATTTTTATTAGTTTTAACGAAATTTGCAATTAATATTTATTCCGAATCAATAAAATTATTTCATTTATTTTTTATATGTTTTTACGATTAATTTTTTGTTTGCGTAAATGTAAAACAAAACAAAACTCACAATAGACACTGGGCGACGCAGGCGGAAAAATTCCACAGAACGTAATAACAACAATAAGAATATACACGGTGCGACGCTGAAACGACGATTGTAGACGTGAAGGGAAACGCGCGGGCAGGCAGTATGCTTGTTGTTGCTGCTGTTGTGTAAGTATGTGTGTGTATTTAGGAACCAACGGTACTTTGTTACAATTTTACTAAAACACCAAAACAAACAGCAAACAGAGTGCAAAGAAAACTAAACAATTTGCACTAAGAACACATACACACTAATTTATGCAACACTTAATTTAATTTTTCTTTTTTAGAATTTCTGCTTATTTTTTATGTAATTTGGCTTTTGTGGAGTATTATTTAATCGCACAAACGATACGAAACGAACTTGGGGCGTTTGGTATGTGTATATATTATATATATATATATATGTGTGTGTATGTTTTTTTTTAGTGTGTAAGTGTGCCCGCGATGAGCCGCACACACAACACAGAACGTCCGGTTTCACGAAAGCGCCACAAACACTAATCAGTGGGTAAAAAAACAAAATGATGCAGACCCGACCCCAACGAACCAGCAGCAGCAGCATTGCCAACAGTCTTGCCGTATAAACAACAGCAGCAGCAGCAAAAAACAACATGCGCAACAGCAACTAGAGAGACACGGAGAGAGAGAGATAGAGAGAGAGAGCAGAGAGCCAAATACTCATGTAGGTACAAACAAACGTAACGTAAACGTAACCGCTCATAGCGTAACGCAAGCCAAATGGGGCCAAAGCAGCGCAGTCAAGTTGTTGTTGCTGCCATCGCTGGCGCCTTCGTATGCGTAGCATTTTTATTTACAAGGCGAACAAGTTACACACACATCCATATACATATGTATATTATGAGAGCGAGGTGAGCATTACCTGCCCGTTTGTTTGTATTCAATGCAACACAAATTGTATACTCTTTCTCTCCCTCTCGCATACAGCTAATTCAATTACACAAAATAAATAAGATCCAGTTCCCCCAAATACCTTCCACAAAATGAACACCACTTGTTCACTCGTCATCTGCGACTCTGTGAAATATTAAAAGAGAAACCAAAAGCGAACATTGTGTTTTGTTTTCATTTTGTGTAGCTGCTTCTATTGCTCTTTTTAAAGAGTTGTCGCGGCATTCCTAACTGTAAACAAGCAAGAAGAAGCAGAACAACTAAGGAAGAATGCGACTTTAGCTGCTCTGCTGGAAAAACTCGTTTTTCCCGCTGGAAACGAAAAAGAATTTCAAAAATTTTGCGCCTCTTCAGGCAAAGCGCAACAAACAAAACCAAAGTAAAAGCAGAAAAAAAACAACAAAGAGAAATGTGTGGGTGGAAAATCCATAAAAACACACACACACACACACACACGCACGCACGCATACGGACGGACTGACAGGCAATAACAAGGAAGTACAAAACGTAACGCAAAGAAAACTGGCGAACAAAACAAAATAGTAGGCAAGGCAATGTAAAAAGGCCAGCGACGAAGCGAAGGCGAAGGTATAAACAACAATAGTAACAACAACAATGCAGACTTGCGATGTCGACTTCAACGTCGGCATCGCAACGTAAACAAAAACTGGGCGGCAAGTTTATTGGACGGGGCGGTGCGAGGCTAGTGCGGAGGGAAACGCGATTTCAATGTAAATAAATATTATAAAATATGCAATTGTGTGTCTGTATGTATGTAACAACAACCACAACAACAACAACATTAGCAATGAAGGCAATCATAAAGACAGCACGACAAAAGGAGGGGGCGGGGAGATTGGGGGGCAGAGCAACAGACATGCAAGTGAAAGGCGTCTGCGTTCGCAAAAAGGAAACAACAACAACAGTAACAACAAAGTGCTGTTAAGTGAAGGCGGCAACTGCGACGTTGGCGGTGCAGCCCGGGGCCAAGCATTTGGCCAATTGCGTTTGTGTTGGAGAAAATTAAATAAATAAATGATTTATTATTTAGTTGCTGCTCATTTGATTTGATTGCTGGCGGCAGTTGTTTTGTGCATTAAAAATACTCTACGAGTATGAACAAAAATTCAATCCAACAAAAATGAAGGTGTACAAAAAGCAGCTGAAGTGCACAAAACTGTATTTTCTCTCGTCACAAATAATTAAATTTTTTGTTGCTGTAAGGTCTGGAAATTTTGAACAATTGCCGAAATGATTGGCATGCTGGTTTTGTTATTAATATTTTTGTTGTTTGGTTGCTGTATTATTCAAGCAAATGGCAAGGCAATGAACTGCATTTTTTAATTACGGCTCTAATTTTAATGACAGGGCCCCGAACACGACGATGACGATCTGTCAAATTTGTTCAAACCTGCTTAACCCACTAAAGTCAAAGTCATAGCATTGGGTTTTATAGTCTCCAATAAAAAAATAAAAAACACTGAACGTTCACATATTTAGTCTACAATTTAAATAATCGATGTACACAAAAGCGTATTAACAAATATGAGAGTTAAAGATCGCGACAAGTATTTGCCAACAATTGTTAAAGTTTTTAAAAATATAAATGCCATTGTATTCATTAATTCTGCTATTCCATAAAATTCATTTAAATATGTTAACATTTTAAGTTGAAAATACTTCCTTTTTAATTAAATTATGAAATTGTTTCATAGTCCTTGCATTACATAATTAATAAATATATGCAAAGAATATTTTACAAATAACTATTAAATTGACCAAAAATTGATTTGGAAGGCTATCAATAAAAAAAATGTTATTTAAATTATTAAAATATTATTTCCCTTACATTGTTTCAAAAACTAATAAATGACAAAGGTGTATGAAATAATTTTGAAAAATTTTAAAAATTTGTTAAATATTTTGTATCATTTTTCTGTTATTATGTTTTTTTTTTTGATAATTTTTTGATTTGGAATCTAAAATTCGGACATCATTTGTACTCCTTTATAAATATAGCTTTTGGAAACAACATTGTGAGCGGTTCTGAAAACAAAAATATGTAATGCTATTTACCTTTATGGACTTCAGTCTGCGCACAACAAAATTGTTGATTTTATTGGACCAGCTTTTACATTTCATGGGTAGGCCTTTGAACACCCCGAAGCGTGTTGCCCGAAAGACACCGAAAAATTAAACAACAAAAAAAAAAGAAGACGGAGAAAAACGCTACGACGGAAAAGTATTTTCACGCAAAAATAATAAAATGCCCGTTAGGCATTGACGTGCACTTCTTTACAGTTATTTTTGGCCATTTGCTGGGGCATATTTAAATGGCGTTTGTTACTGTTGTTCAGTTACTGTTGCTTTTTGAACACTTGTGCAATCACTTGCAACTTAGCTTCAGTGTTCAACATACACAATTTGTACAGATAAGTTGAGTTGGGTTTTTTTTTTCTATTATTTGGGTATTTGCACAAACTAATGTAGAGACGAACACAAAACGTAAATAAACGGTGTATCTTTGTTTGTTATTTTTTGTGGCTTGGTTAGTTTTTCATTTAAACAAGAGTTTGGCGCGCGCAGGTTTTTCTGGCGTAGCTTAAGCTTAGAACGGCACTGCTGCGGCTACTTATAAGTTGTATTTATTGTTGGTCTTTATTGCTGGTCTGTTTCTGTTGAAAATGCTTTTGTTGCTGGCATGCGCGCACCCAACCAAACCGAAACAAGTTTAAAGTCAAACTGAACGCTCACAGTTACTGGCGGTTGCTTCAGACCGATAGCTGCGCTGGTGCTGCTGTGAAGTGAGACAAATGGAATGGAATGGAATGGAATGTCGAACATTGTGTGGAACATTGCTGCGAGAGTCAGATTAAAACTCACACACCGTCTGAAATTTTGCGTGCATGTTTCCCCTCTTTGAGCTGCAGAAACAACAACAAGCAATAACAACGATTTAAAGTGTAAATAACTCTGCGAGTGAATGTCTTTTGTTTATGCATACATAATTCTTTAAATTGCAAAACGAGAGAGACGCAGCAGTTCGATTTATGTTAGGATTTTCATTGGAATTGTGGCTTATCTCTTATGCAACCTCTTACTTGCTTTTTTAAATCATATACATACATATGTACATATGTATGAATGTATGTAAGTACAAAAGAGATTAATTATATTGGATTTACTAATGATTTAAAAAAAATTAAATCAATATCATAACAAACAACATACATACATTTTAAAATATATCTTGCAATCGGAGTCCTTAATACTGCAGATCAGACGGAATTAAATAAATTTATTGCTAGCCCTGTTGGCAAAATCGGAATACCCTTTTGCCCAAGATTCATGGATAAGAAATGGCAGCAATATCCAAGTGTCCTCCTCTTTCGTTTCGCACTTGTTTTCGTATGCGTGAGTGCCGTTATTTTAGAATTTTTTTTAGCAACCGCCGTCGCATTATTTTTGCTTTATTTCTGTAGCTTGCAGTTCAACAGCAACAACAACAATTACAACGTACACTTGCAAGAATTTCATTTAGAATTCTATGCATTATTTATAAGAAAAAATGACGCCCTACTTTTTTTGCTCTCGTTTGTTATTGCTATATTTTGGATGTTGCATTATTGCCTTTGTACATACACAGTATGTTTGTATGTAATTATCGGTTTGGATCTGTGGCAGTTTTTAACTCATATATTATGTTTATAAATATTTATGTACATACATACATATTTACATATGTATATGTATGCATATGTATGTCGCATAATCAAATTCCCCAGAATCTGAGGCTGCAATAACAAAAACAACATGACTCAGCGGTCTGTCCTCTTATGACTCTTTTACTTTCCTGTGCTTTGCAGAATTTTCGCGATTTAACTGTTGAGTGCTTTATGGTAGATTTCTATGACCCCCCGTCCCAACGAACTCCATTCAGTGGATCGTTCGATGATCTCTTTGTGTAGTGCTGTGTTGCGCTCTTCGCACTTGTACCGATCATTTTTGTAACTGCACAACACAAATGCGATCCACAGTTCATTGCTTTGTTTCTGTGCCATGTGCCAGTTCGTTCCTTGTTTTGAACGAACGCGCGCGCCTTTTTCGAGTGTGTTTGTTGTGTGCGTTTCTGTGTGTGTGCGCACGGGTATGTGAAAATTCACTTGTAGTGGCGACGTCGACGTCGTCATCGCGGCCTGCTCTCGTTTACGTTTTACTACAAAACGGAAGTCGAACATGGTGTGTGGTGCGAGCGAGAGGGCTGTGTAAGCGAGATGCAACGAAAACAAAACATTAAAATGAAGGGGAAATGTCGTCGTCGTTGCAATTTGTTCGCTATGTTTCGTCATTCACTTTGTGCTTGTGACCCCTCACAGTTTTTCTTCATGTTGTTTTTGTTTTTTTTTTTGCTTTTTATTATATACAGACGCTGTTGTTGTTTTGCTTATTTCTTAACGTTTTTTTTTTAGCAAGACGCATTGTGTGGACCCCAAACACACACAATTATGAATAAAGAAAAAAGTACGTAAAATGTACATATAATATGTACATACATATGTATGTATATCTACATATTTACATATATGTACATATGTATGTATGTACATACGATGTATGCATGTTTGTATGTGTGCTGCATAATTGAATGCACATATTAAGAAATGTAGGTAAAAACTAGGCTTGGTTTCTGTTTGTCGTATTTAACAGAATTTACCAAAATCATATGAGGTGTTAATACAATTAAGAAATACAATTTTTATTTAATAATATTCATTTACAAAAAAAAGTATATGCTAGCCTAGTTATAGTAGTGAGATTAATACATTTAAAATTAAAATTTATTTCCCAAGTTATAGACTCCCTATACCTACATACATATGTATGTATGTATGTATGTATGTTGTATGTACAAGACTATGTTATTTGGTTTTAATAACAGAGGATTGGACTGTCAAGCGCATTAGTGTTGATTAACAGCTCTAGTTACCAGTGTCAACAATTTTTGTTAACATAGTTCAAACACAAAGGCTTCTTATAGTATTCTATTTCGTTTTGCGAGACAAACTTTCAATGAATTAAGTAATCTGCTGCCTCATTAATTGACAGTAGGGTCTTAACAGTGCCAGTTTTACTCGTTGAAGTGGTAATTGGGAGGCTAATAGAGAAAACTTTGCATCAAAGTGTAGAAAAACACGTTTTTGGCAGCAATTGAAATCCTATATTTAAATTTAACCCCTTGGCTCTCTCGTTTTTAGAGCTATGTACACAATGTGTACTACACATGTATGTAGTACGTATGTATATGCCATGACGACCTTTTAGAATATGAAAAATTGTGCGACATTTAGAGTTATTTCATGTTCGATTCCAAATATCCATCCTATTTAGGATGGCAGGCAGAAGGATATACTTAAATATATATGTACAATAGATAATAATAAACTTGGGATGCAAATTGTCATGTTAATACCCACACCACATTTATTACAAGCCACAAATAATGAAGCTCCTTTTTTTATATACCGGCCATTGGATCGATCGGTGGAAAAGTATAGATAAGTACGATTTAAAAATATCTTTCAAAAATATAAATGATATTTGTGAATTTTCTATATTTCTCTGAAGTCATCAAAATCGGTGAAGGGGTTTGGGAGCTTTTCTTATTGTCTCTAAATAATCGGGAGTGTTATTAAAAATCTCTTATATTATTTCCAAACTGGAACTCTGGCGTACTAACACAGTAATATTCGGGAAGCTTTTTATGGGTTTCAAATGCTTGGAACTAATATTGTGAAATGCGTTTGAAGAAGAAGAATATGCGAACAAATAAAGTTTTATTCAATTTTTGTTAGGCCTTAAATTTTTGTAATGTTGGGTTTCTGTTTTTTAGATTTTCTATTCTCTCGGGGCTATCGCAAAATAACAGAAACCGATAGAATTTAGATAGTCATAGCTGTCATTTATGAAATTCTAGAAACTGATTTAGCGAGATTACTTTTATTTTAATTGGAAATTTGCGCAATATGCTAAACGGACCAGTTCTATATAAATAAAATTGCATAAAATTTCTACACCTTTTACTTCCTTGAATCCGAAAGCCACATCTTAATTGAATTGAATTTAATTCAATAATGAAATCTATTAGCAGGTTCAATCAATTTCGTTATATAGTATTTGTGTTTTATAGTTTTATTTTAAGACGCATCTTTGCTTTTTTCAACTGTATTTTCGGTGTGGCTTATTTGTTTAATATTTTTCCTTTGCTTTGCTTTGCTTTTGTTTTGTTTACATTTTTCTATTTGAGATTTGCGTTGGGGCTTTGGTTAGCATTTTTTGTCTAATTCATTTGTTAATGAGCAACCAGAAACTGGCTGGGTTTTTTTCGACCACAAATATGTATATATATGTGTATATTTCGATTAGCATTTTTAATGGGCAAGAAGACGAGACACAATGTCGCCGCCGCGAAGCCTCATTCAGAGCCCCAAAGAGGCGAAGATTCAAGCTAAAACCTCAAATGTATTTTTACATTTCTACATATGTACATATAGTATGGCGTCTCTGATTTGCATAAATATCGGCCGATTCGAACGGCTTTGATGCGCAAACACTTGCCTTGGCCAGTGTGCTTGTGGTTGGTGTAATGGTTAGCATAAGAAATGAATTTCGTATAAGTCTCAAAGCAGCCGCGACTCGATACGCATTCTTCGAAATATCCAAAAGCCAAAACTCCCAAGCATCTTGTCTCCTAATTCATTAGTGCGAATTTTTTTCCTGCGGGTCTTTGTTATATTTATATATTTATTTATTTATTTTTTGAAACGCGCATATTTGAAGAACGTGTTTGGATTTATTTTAGAACACCCCTCCACGTCTCCCCCCTTCCCAAACGCAGCTCAGCACTGCTGTGCTCATAGTATGCCGCATTCACCTGTTTAATTGACCCCCCCAGCCCACCAAGACCGCCACTCGGGACCCCATCTCCCTGAGCTGAACGCGAACCGGTTTTGTTTTCTTGTGACTTGCGACTCAATTGATGGCGCACGACCGCCCGGACTCATAGAGCGGGTGCCGAGCATTCAACACTCATTTAGTTGTCACACTAAGTTAGCCCCATTAATAAACCAAAGAGCTAACTTCGAAGATCAATGGACCGCCGATGTTTGATTAGCGACTTGAAGAATGAAGCGACTGCCACTCGCTCTGAGTGCGAGAGATACATCAATACAGAGAGAGAGAGGGAGAGAGGGAGAGAGAGGGATGGGCTGCAGGGAAGGAATGAACAAATATTTTATTTCATAAACTTAATTGGCTGAAAAAATGTTTTGTTAATTATGAAAATTTAACTTGAAGGCAAAAATTGTTGCTCTGTGTGAGAATATATCGTGCTATCTCTATCACACACACTCACTCCCTCTCCTCCTCACTCTCTCACTCACACACTCATGTGCTCAGACCGGGCCATGACCATTAAGTTTTTTGGTTGATGAAATCAAACTGTGAAGTTGTAAAATTTGAAGCCAAGTTAAGCAACAAAAAAAAAAAGAAAAAAAAAGAAAATTGATTTTGAGTCATTTGGTATTTTGGTGGGAACGCAATTTCTTGGAGAAATCGTGAGTGTAGCGCTTTCTTTGTTTGCTCCCTCGATACAACGCCCCACTTCACTCTTTTTTCCACGCACGCACTTTTCAATAAAGCGTAATTTATAGCTGGTGAATAT